AGAGAGAGAGTGTGTGTGTGTGCAGGGTGTATACCTACCTGGGGGGTAGATTGACTGCCCACCCACTGGGCCAAGTAGGTCAGAGAAGAAAAGTCGTACATAAAAGGTTGGTTCCAGATATTTCCGCACTAACCAGGAGTGGTCTTGGTTCTTGTCTATCAGTCGTATGTGAGCCTACAGGGGCCCATCAATGGTCATCCTACGGTCAGAAATGGCAAAATGGTGACATTTTGTTGCGCTTGCGTAGCGTCGTCAGTTTTGCTGACCTGCCCCTCTCTCTTGGCACGTGTGTAACCAACTCGAGGGTGCACTGGATCCATGTGATGGATGGGCCGGGCCGCACCCACAGAGCGAACCACGGGCCTGCAGAGATGGACAAAAATGGCTTAAGAGGAAGGGGGTCAGAGAGAAGTTCCGCAGAGGCCAATTGGTCGGCGCATAGCAAAGCCTTCATCGAGAGCAATCCTCTGACAGCCAAACGAGCCTCGGGGTCTTGGCACAACACGCCATCTCGACCTGCACACACAGACAGACAAAGACACAGAGAGAGATGTCAGCTTGTTTGTCCTTCTGGCTGCTCCTGACTGCATGTATGGCCTTCCTGTGAGCCTCTCTGCGGAGATCTGCCCCGGTTCGTTTGTGCGCGTGCCTTTCCCGCAGCACTTCTAAGCTCGCAGGGTTTAAAACCCCTCACCCTAAACCCTAATTATGCGTAGGGTTTGCGAATTTCGTGAATGCGCGTGTGCAGGAGTGCGCAGCAGACAGGCAGGCACCTTCCCACACACGGATGTGCGCAGGGGTGGGCTGTGTGTGGAGAGAGGGGGGAGGGAGGGAGGGGGCGTGCACTGCGCATGTGCCCCTCTCTCTCTCTCTCCCTTTCTGCCCGTGTGTGTGTGCGTGTGTGCGTGTGTGTGTGTGTGTGTGTTCATGCCTGCCTGCCTGCCTGCCTAATGCAAAGGGGTGAAGAGCGATAGCGCATGATTCACTCACAAATGCCATCCATCCATGCAACACACACTGGAACACACACACACGGCATGACACGACACGCAACCACGCAAAGTCAAATCAACCAACCGTTCGTTGTCCTGTCTGTCAAGTCATTGTCCATCCATCCAAGCATTGCCTAGAGTGAACAAATAACACTTGCCCCTCACCGGTGGGTGACCCATGAACAGCTTCTAGCTGCCAGCACACTGTACCTCCCCTCTCTGCCTGCCTGCCTGCCTGCCTGCCGGTTGTGTACCTACCTACCTACTGGGGTGCGCCATCGCGCGCTCGGTCGTCCACACGGACGGCATGGATGGCCATGCACATGCACTGCACGGACACTATGGCATTGATCGATCCAAGACCATGGCATGCACGCAAAACCACGTGGTCCACACACGCACAGACTGGTCACACCACACCACATGCATCGCATCGCACCGCATCAGTCACGACGTGCAGGCCTGCCCGACGGCCTGAAAAACAATATCCGTCGGGGGATCACTCTTGCACGCACATCATCAAGGCAAGGCAAGAAACGCACTGTACAACGGCCATCGACGCACATCATCAACCAAGACAGAGAGAGCAAGAGAAAAAACAGCGAAAAGCCCCAGCCCACCCCCAGCATATGGGTCGATCAGCGAGTGCATTCTCAGCAGGGGGCGGGGCGTCGTGTCGGCCCCCCTCAGCGCAATCCATGGATTCCATTGCCTTGCCTGTACAGACTGCAGTCAGCAGAGATTCGATCATCGGCAGTGAGTGTATATCTGTTGGATGCCATCACATTTATCGACACAGCACAGACAGACAGTAAGTAATAGAGCAGCGGGAAAAAAGCCTCGGGGCTAATATGGTGTATACGTGTGGATGTATGGATGTAGGCAAGGCAAGCTAAGCTGCACGGCACGACAGACACGCACGACGCACACACACGGACACCGACACGTAGATGGGATGGACACGACAGACAGGACAAAAGACACTTTCCTACCTACCGGCATGCATTCCTTGGTTTCTCTACGTGCAATGAATGCACCCTATAAGTGGCAGCAGACGGACGGACAGACACATAGGCACGCATAACCATACACACACGGCACGGAATGGAGATAAGGCAGAGAGGGTGCGGTGCGGTGCGGTGCGGTGGATATCGTCTACGATAACCATCTGTCTGTCTGGTCTGTCTAGCCATCACTGCCGAGCTACCGCAAAAAAGCAGACAAGACACCAACACCCCAGCTCTCGCACTGCGATCGACCGATCAGCTAGCCAGCCAGCCATCCCCGCCCACCCGGCTGCCCACTACACACAGCTGTCCTTATACCTATGATCTACCTAGGGACGGTCTACTGCACGGCTCGATGATCTTGCTTCACTTGCCGCTGTAGTCGGTGGGCCTGTTGGTCTTGCGCTTGACGCCGTTCTTCTCCATGTACTTGCGGGCCTTGACGAGGCCGGCGGGCTGCTCGAGGAAGAAGGGCATCCGCGAGATGACCGCATTCGGCACCTTCACCTTCAACTCAACCTGCACATCAATCACACCATACCATCAACACGCCCGCCGTGTGTGTGGTGTGTGGTGTGTGTGGTTGTTGTTAGTTGATATATCACCTGAGCGAGGAGGGTGACGTCCATGGTGCCGTCGGGGAGGGACTCGCAGAGGAATCCGGCCAAGATCATCTTGGCGCGCACTGCCTTCCTCTTGGGCAGACCACTGGGCTCGGGGTAGTCATCCGTCGACACAGCCACCTGAGCCACAGTGCCGGGCGCAACCTGATTGATGACACACACACACACGCCCACACCAATGGATGGATGGACAGTGTGTTGTTCCGTCTGTGGCTGTGGCTGGCTGCGTGTGAGGTCCGCTGCCTGTCGTACCGTACCACGTGTGTGTAGAGTGCCTGGATGAAGTCCCTTGGCTCGTACATCATCATGCCCTTGAACATCATCCACGCCACCGCCGTGTAGTAGTCGAACTCACACAGACACGCACCTGATCAACACAACATAACACACTGATCAGCTTCCCCATTCCCTCCCCTCCCCTCCCATCACCCACCCCACACGCACCTTGGCCGAACTGGTCGTCGGTGGCCTTCTTGGCGTCCCAGTCGCGCAGGAAGTCCAGGAAGTCCCAGGGCGTGAACTTGCTGCCGAAGTTGACGGTGCCGCGGATCATGGGCGGCAGGCCGTCGTGGAACTCCCGACGCTGCACGCGGGCGCCCTTGATCGTGCCGCAGTCGATCCAGCCGTTCATGCCCTTGGCATACTGCAGGAACTCAGCAACAGCCGCCTCTTTCTGTCAGGGGATTACAACATACACCACACACATGAGCATGGCCCCGTTCCCTCCCTCCCCATCCCTCCTTCATGTCCTCACCTTTGCTGCGAGTGCGTCCCTGATCCGCCTCAGCACTGCCTCAGTGGGCAGGAGGTCAGGCCTGTCGGTGAAGCTGAGGAGCGGCTGCTTGGGCGCCACGACAATGGCGCCACTGGTGGGTGCTCCAGTGGGCTGGGTGGGCACATCGGCGTCGTCAGCCGAGTCTGTGGTGGATGCGAGTCTGCGGGGGGAGGTGAGGGGGGACTCGCGGGGGGTGAAGAACTGGGACGTGCTGATGGTGTCGCAAGAGACCCTCTTGCTGCTGTTGCCCAAGGGCAGGCACATCGGGCTATCCTCGAAATGCACCTCCGGGGTGTCTGAATGAACAGATCAGAAGTACGAGTCATCCCGTGTGTGGTTGAATCGCTGTGGATAGTGAGATCCTCACCTCTGGGAGAAAGGGGCTTCAGAAACTGAAGACACACACACAGAGAGAACAACACACACGAGAGATCAGCGAGCGCTCGTCAACAAGCAGATCTTTCCTCTCCTTTCCCACCGGAGAAATGAAAACGCTGGAGGCGGGCATCTTGGCTCCTTCTCCGCAAGCAAAGAAGGTAGGCTGGGACAGGAGCTGGGCAAGTAGGCTGTGAGGCCGAGGAAAGTCCGCACGAGAGCCCTCAGGCAGGAAAAGGCACGCGAGCCGCTACGCCTGTTCCTTTTAGGGTTCCCTAGCTCGCAAGCTGTTTCACGGAATACCCGGTGGGTGGAACAGTATGGCGGATCTCGGATGGCGGCGCCTTTCTGACAGCAAGCGGGAGGACTCTCCGGACCGCGGCCAATCCGTTCCGCCCGAGACTGCTGCTGCGCCTTGTGCTGCGCCATCCAGATCTGCGCAACCAGCCCCTGGTCCCCCTCGGCCTGCCATCTCAGGCAAGGACTGGATACGTGCCAAGACCCTCCATCAAGACGGCATCCTCACAAGCCCTCCTGCTCCTGTCGCATCGACAACATCCACCCGGCCGACGATCGCGTTGGTGCTGTCCTCACTGTTTGACGCGTTTGCCTTCCTCTTGGCGCTTTTCTTCATCTATCCCGTGCTGATCCCCTACGCGCTGTTGACATGGCTGTATCGTGCCGTGTGCGAGGTGGTGGCGTGGTGCGTGTGGGGGATGGACAAGACACCTCCACCACTGCAGCCGCTCGATATCATCTTTCTGCAGGAGACCGAAGCCAACCACGGGTACGACACCGACTGACACACAGAAGGAAGGGCGGTGTGTGCCACGTCCCTTCTGGCTTTGATGTGTGATGGTTCAGTGTGATAACGGTCGTCTACACATGTGAGCCCATCGACGTGGAGACCGTTCGGCAGTGCATGGCCGACCGGTTGCTGTCTGTGGAGCCGCGGCTCACGGCCATCCCGAGGAGGGCGTGCGGGCGGCTGCGGTGGGTGCCGGACCCTCACTTCGACATCTCGCAGCACATCCAGGAGCTGGAGTACGACTCGCGGGAGCACTCCTTCGACGGCATGGTGTCCCGCATGTGCAGCCAGCCCATGGCGCGCGACAAGCCCCTCTGGTGCCTCCTCTTGGCACAAGACAAGGCCGGGGACGGACCAGAGGGAAAACCGCGCTCGCACGTCATCTTGCGGCTCCAGCACTGCATGTCTGACGGGCTCGGCATCATTTACCGCATCATGGAAAACCTACTCGACAGCCGGCGGGACGACCCTGAGGCTGCCTACCACGGAGCGGCCCTCAAGCCGGCCTTCACCAGATCCCAGCTGAGCCTATCGACCTTTGTGGGCTTCTTCCGAGCGCCGGGCATCGCCCTGGGCGTGCTTATGGAGAGGGCGCCGCGCAGCTGGCAGGACCCGAGACGGCCCATGGAGCAGGTGACGGGCAAGAAGGTGGTCGGCACGCCACTCGAGCTGCCTCTCGACGCATTCCGCCCCCTGCGGTCCAAGCTCACGGCACTTGTCGGCACGCGCGTGACGCTCAACGACGTCCTGACGTGCGCGCTGGTGGGGGCGTACCGGCGGTATGCCGTGTCGCACTCGCAGGACGGCAGCCCGATAGTGGACCACTCCATGACACTGCCCGTGTTCGTGCCGGTGAGTTTGCGGACCGATGAGGTGCAGGAGTTGGGCAACGAGTTGGTGCCAGTGCCTGTGAGGGTGCCCGCATCGCCTAACGATACGCTAGTTCAGAGGCTCAGGGTAAGTCATGCCACACAGGCACTGCACCGAGAGGGCGGGCGGATGGCTGTGTGAATTGTTTGTGGGTGTGGGTGTTGCATGCAGTCGGTGCACACGGCCGTTCAGCGTCTGAAGAGTCAGAAGGACATGCTGGTGATGGCTCAGAGCCTCAAGGTGCTCGCCGACATCGTCCCGCCGACTCTGTCACACGTACGTAGCATAACACTGCCACCAACCACCACACAAACACAGGCGGCCATGTCGCACATTGCGGCCGGCCACCCAAACACTTGCTATCCTGTTGCAGTATTTGGGTGACATGTTGGCCAGCAAGTCCGCCGTGATGTTCACCAACGTGCCGGGCCCCTCCAACCTGGGGTCCCTGGCCGGCCGCAAGGGCAGCAGCTGCCTATGCTTCGCGCCGGTGCGTGGCGGCTGCGGCATCGCCATCGCCATGGTGTCGATGGCCGGCGGCCTCCGCGTCAACATCGTGGCGGACCAGGCGGTGCTGCCCGACCCTGACCGATGGACGCACTTCTTCATGATGGAGATACACGCCCTGGCACGGCTGGCGGGCGTAGACGTGACCGATTTTGCCATGACGCAAGGAGGAAGCGGGGAGGGCAAGGGCGAGAGGGGTGAGCTAGACACTGCTGTGGAGGAGGAGATATCCCGTGTGGTGAGCGAGCCGCGCATGCGGCATGCGGCGAGGACGGGCGCGCCAGTCAGCGAGAGGCGCTCATAATGAGACAGCTAGTCTCTCTGCCGAGCAGCTATGGTGGTTCCCTGCGTCGTGCTGAACTAGCTGGTTGACGTGTGTGTGTGGCCGAGGTGTTTGCGACGTCGGTGTGTCCTTTTTTCCCTTTTTTGTTGGGAGGGAGGGGTGGGGCGTGGGGTGGGGTGGGAAGGGTGCCTTTTGTTTGCCGGGGAGGGGAGACAGACTGCTAAATAGGAGCTTGCAAGAGACAGCCGAGGGGGCCTCGTCATCGCAGCCCCGCTTTCCTTCATTCAGCGATGAGCTTGCGGCCGACAAGTCCAACAGCCAGAGAGGCGAGGAGAGCAGTTTTTTCGTCTTTGCCATGGTTAGCTGCTATGCCGACCGAACAGCGGACATAGAGAGGGCCGACGAATTCGGCGAGAGAATGGGAGAAGGGGATGAGCGAGAGAGGCTAGGTAATATGAGCTATGATCCATGTGACGCGCACACGGCATCCTATCCCATCCACCACACGTCGGTCGTGGACAAATAAGAGTGTCACCTAGGTCATATTGCGGATTATTCTGCTGTTGCCGTGCCGTGCCGTGCTTGCCTTGCCTGCCTTGCCTTGGTGGTGGTACCATGCATGTGTGCGCTTGTGTTTTTGTGGGCTCGCACGGTCTCGTTCGTGAGTGAGTATTGTGTTGTATGCGTTCTCTGCAGAGAGCATCGATTTATAAATTGCAACCACGATTTGGTGCCAGACACCATGACTGCACAGCGTAGGTCTACGACTGACTCACAGTCGCCTACTATATCTTGATTGTGTCCACAACGCACCGCACGCACCACACGCATCCAAAATAATACCAAACAAAGCACAGGCAACTTAGTGGAGACCTACGGCAGTCAACACGGTACTGGAAAACAGCCACATGCATACAACACACACACACATGACCATGCACACAGCTGCATCACTCACACACCCGGAAAAAGCACATAATGCATCCATCTCCGATGGCGTGACGATGTGCTGTCGCGCCACATGCAGTAGTGTGAGCCATGCGGGCCGCATAAAGGCGAACAAATACATCACACACGAACAAGACATCAGACATCGAGATCTTCACGAGACAAGCAAGCACAGAGAGGCTCAGAGACAAGCAAGCACAGAGAGGCTCAGACCGAGCGAAAAGCCGCTCTCACCACGCACGCGCACACGCATAGCGAGGAACGCTGCTTGCTGTACAGGCACTACAGCACGGCCCCTCCCATGCATCCATCAGTCACATCACCCACCCCCCACGTCGCGCCACGCCACGCCATGGCACTGCCTTCTGCTTTCCTTCCTTTACGCGCACTCAGCAGCCAGACGCACATCGCCCTCCTTTCGTCCGCTCTACCAGGTGATCGTTCCTGATCGGGTGGTTGTCAGCTATGCCGCCACCCACCGATCAGAAGACGAGTTGCTCGGCGGCATACTTGGGGACCTCGTGGTACTTGCCGCCTACGACCTCAAGCGTAGGGAAGATTGTAGATTGGTCGTATATAAGCAGGTGGTGGGCGAACAGCTTGGCAAAACCCCGGTACCGCACAATGGTGTGCGTCCACTCGAGAGCTGCCAGCCGGGTCACGAACGTGTGCTCGAGTGTGGAGCGGTGGTAGAGGCCTTTGCCGTGGCCCAGCTGCTGGACGGCCGGGCACTCGTGGACTTCGGGGGGTGGAGGGTGGGAGGGGTGCGCCATTCGCGATGGATCGGCTATGGTGGCGTAGGTCGCGATCACGTGGGGGTAGTCAGCGTCCTCGAGGTGCTTGTACTCAAACGGACACGACGTCAGCACGGTCGATGACGCGCACGGCACAAGGTAGTCATGCTGCAACAAAGTAAGGCGGCGAAAACGGATACCAACAGGAATCTCAGGCATGGGTCGTGGGGACCGGTCGATGAATGGTTGTGTTCTCACTCACCTCTGCAGCAGCGATGGCGTTTCGCGCCTGGAACCTTGCCAGAGCTCGAAAGAACGGCCCGTTTGGGTCAGAGATGCGGTCGAAGAACTCGCCTCCGTCCCTCAGAAAGAGCTGCACGAAGGTGCGGCCGTAGTTGGTGCCGAGAGGAAGCACACGCCGCAGCACGTCGCCGAGGGCAAAGGGCAGGTCCACGAGAAACAGGAGGGCGCCCAGCTCCTCCATGACGGGGATGAACTGGCCATCGACGCCAGCGTGAGGGGTGCCCAATGTCACGAAGTTGACTGGCCTGAGGCCGGCAATCAGGGACCCGCCTTCGGCTTTCTCGCGGTGGCCATCTTGCATGAGAAGGGTGCCGAGAGCATAGCGCGCATAGACCCCGCCCATCGAGTGAGCCACCACCGACATCTTCCGGAGCGATGGGTGCGACGCAATCACCTGACGCATCTCCTGCGACAAAGGGAAACGCCAAGAGAGAGTCACAAGAAGATTCCAATCCGTGTGTCGCGTTTTCCTTTGGTGAGTGCCGATTACGGAGGCGATTCGCCGTCCACCGGAGTCAATGCCGTCGGCCGTTGTAAACCAGCTTCTAACCATGCCCCAGTTGGCGTGGAGCTTGTGGATCAAGACACATGGGCCGCCAGCGTCAGTGCTGTTGCCGTTGCCCGTCGGGTAAAGGCTCCGGGCGCGATCAGAGATCTCCATCGCAATCACTGACACACAAAACAGACAGACAGCGACAGACGTCCGCACGAAGCTCAGCTATAGATGTGGGCGTGTGTGAGGGTGTCTTGGTGTTGGTGTGTACCATCCATGCCGACTGGTTGGCTGATCCAGCCATGTGCGAGGAATATGACATGGTCGGCAGGCCGGTCTGGGCACGTCCACGTCTGCTGTGTCGTCATGACTTGATGCAGACAGTCCTCGTAGGCCACCATCAGCACCAGACCAAGCACACCAGCACGCATCACCAGACCAAGCACACCACCGGGCCGCCAGGGGTGCCTCTTGGGTTGTGAGAGGACCCTGTTTGCCACGACCTGTGCCGAGCTCTTGTCCTTGGAAGGGGGGAAGGCAGAAGCGTGTGACGGCGTGCCGAGGCAGTCACACGGCAAAGAACTGCCTGTCGCGTGTCTGCGAAGAGCATCCCTGAAGACACACAGGAAGGTCGGGGGGAGTGTACGCCAGGCTCTCAATGGCTGCAGGGCGCACCTGTCGACGCACATGTCGAGAAAGGGAGAAAGGGAGGGGAAAGGGAGGGGAGAAAGTCCTATCCTTTCCGTTTCACAGAAGCTCACCCTAGCAAAATTCCAAAACCCGCTTTGGGTTCCTCTGTGAGTGAGCGTCTGTGGCGGCCCTACCTGTCCGCCGCTCCCGTGTCGGGTTTTCTGTAGCCAGCAGCGTACTGTAGAGCAGCGAGCGTAGCATAGCGTGGCGTTTGTGTGGACAGCGGCGTGTTGGTTGTGTCGTGTGAGCCGGCGGCAGCCATGACGTGGGGATTCTCCAACGGCGAACTCAAGGTGTACCAGCCGGTGAGCAAACAGAGGCGGGGCGCCGAGGGAGGGGAAGCAGACAGACAGACAGACAGACAGGCGGCAGGGAGGGAGGGAGGAAGAGGAAGGCAGATCAGATCTGATCAGACCTCGGGCTGCCTGGCCACCCTGCAGACTGCATGGCATGGACATCCATTGTGTTCTCTGTCGGTTGGGTTTGTGTGATCTGATCTCACATATCAGCACCAGCCGACGCACTGTGTGGCCAAGCGCGTATTCATGGAAGCGGACACGCCCCAGCACGCGCCGCGGTACGCCGAGCCCGGCGAGAAATTCTACAAACTCAGGGCGGAAACGCAGTGGTACTACTGGGGTGAGTAGCCACACACACAAACAGACAGACAGACACATGAGGCAAAACACGAAGGCACCCACGCATTTGTCCATGTCTGTCTGTCTGTCTGTCTGCCTGTGTGTGTGGTTGTGTCTCAACTCTCAGTTGAGGATTACACTGGTGTGTCGTTCACGATCCGCAAGGAGAAGCAGCAAGAGGAGGGCAGTGCGTCGGTGGCCGAGCTGCTGACCCCCCTTGCGGCCTCCCAGACCAAGTGGGACATCTCCCCACCCGTCACCGAGCCCCCTCCCCCCGCTCCCAGGGAAGAAGACGACAACAACCAGGACACTGAGGCACACGCACCGCAACTCACCACAGACAACAACACCACCAAGGACGACGGCACCCCGCACACACAGCAGGACGACAAGAAGGAGTCGGCATCCACACCCGCACCGGGCCCTGCGCCGTCCACAGAGCAGGATGCGTCGCCCTCTGCCGCCGACAGGCGGGCCAGCGAGAGGCACCACCACAAGGGCGAGACGGACAGCACTGCGGCGGTGCTGCAAGACGACGGACCAGACGATGACGAGCAGAACGACAACCACCACCACCACCACCAGCCATAACAAAAGATGATAGTTTGAGATAAGGTATGTGAAGCAAACAACAATGCCTCTCGATGTGTGTGTCACACACAGCAAAATGATCTGTGTGAACCTCGTGTGTGGTGATACGATGTGGCACAGGAAGATCAATGGCGTCAGTGTACGCCAGGCTCTCAATGGCTGCAGGGCGCACCTGTCGACGCACATGTGAGCGAAAGGTGCGAGGGAGGGGGAGGGGGAGGGGAGAAAGGGAGAAAAGGAAAGGAATCCCATCTTTCCGTTTCACAGAAGCTCACCCTAATTAGCAGAGCCTAGGGTGCTTCCTGAAACCGCTGCTGCTTGGTCTGCATGTCTGTGTCTTCAGGCGTTTGACTACCTGATGGGGTGGTTCTTCGAGACGCCCGCTCTACGGGCGATAGCCAAAAGGTCTGCCGTCGGCCATACACACAACACAGTGCACCCACAAACACCTCGTGTGTGATTGGTGCACTGCAGTTAGTGTATTTCCTGGCGCACCGCGAGCTGCTGTATGCGGTGCCCATGTATCGACTACCCCATCGCCCTCACCGACGTCCGCAAGGGCTACCTGCCCACCGCATCAACCATCGTCTGGGAACTCCACAAAGACGAGGGAGATACCGAGGTCAGCACACACACATACACTTGTTGAAGGTACCATGGGTGCGGTGCCTTCACGCCTGTGTGTGTGTGTGTGTGCAGCCTCATATTAAGACGTTCATTTGGTGGCCGACGCAGGAGCGAGGCGAGAAGGAGAGGAGCATTGGTGGGCGGTGCGGTGCGAACAGACGTGTGGTGTGGTGTGGGTGTGGTGTGGATCGTTTGTTGGTCTTTTGTTTGGCTGTACGCGTGTTGCTGTGAGCAGGCAAGGACAACCCCCTGCTGATGCAGACCGTAAAGCCACAACGTGGAGGCGACCCCAAACGCATGCAAAGACACGTACGCGCAGTCCTCCACGCCACACACACATGGGATCAGCAGTACATTTGTGGGTTTGTATGCGTGTGTGCAGCAAGTGTCACCTGTCGACGATACTGGAGGTGTACAAGTCGCGCCTGGCCGGGAAAACGTGCACCCGTTGGGGCTCTTGCCTTGTCGGTTTTGTGCGCCCGAGAGGAGATGGTACCACAGACATGAAGCGCACTTTCTTCTCGTGAGATATGTGGGCTGGCTACCTAGCTGGTTGCTTGGTGACGTGTGCGCTTGCGGTTTCCTCATCGCCTTGTGTCGGTGTGTCGTGGCGTGGGAATGCGATGGTGGCGGGTTGAGACCCTTCTCGCCATCGATTGCATTTCACGGCGAGATGCAGGAGTCTCTTAACGAATCTGGGCGTCCAATGACTAGGGAGGTCGGGAGGCGATGCATTCCCTTTTTCGTAGCTGCTCATATCATCCCTCTGCAAGTACATATGTGCCGTGGTGGATGGTGTAGTAGGACGATTCTGGCGATGCTGTGCCATGCTATGTCGTGCTGTGCTGTGGTGTGTTGATATGATGCGAATCAAGGACGTACCTGTGTGTGTGGGGGGGGGGGGGGGGGGGGGG